CTTCCAAACTGTTCTGTTTCAAACGGGCAATAAAAACATTTTAAAAACCCCTAAATAATCTACAACTGAAACTGCTTGAGCTAAAGTATTTCACACTGATCTAAAACAAAGCTGTCTGAGGTCTGAACTCAGCATTTGCTGGTCTCACAGTTGCTGCAGCACAGGGGGTGCTGCTTTGGGTTGCCACTGAGATTCATCCACCAAGTCAGGTGCTCGCCCTGCTCCATCCCTGCCACGGCACCGTCGGGCTCACACCAACACGCACACTCTGGTCCTGATGCAACGGACCACATCCCGCTGATCTCAAATTAGAGGTGTATGCACAGCAATAGACGGTGACCACGGGGCATCACTCCATGAAGCTCTGGAGCGAACACTGTATCGGAAAAGCCTGTGAGGTCCCATTTGTCATGCAGCATCCAGCACAGGCGGCTGCGATCCTCGGCCACGACTCAAGGGTGCCAGAGCTGGCATCACCTCACTGAAACAGGGATGTCCCAGAGGAGATGGCAGTTCTCAGAAGTTTTCTATGCAGTGACGAGAGGATGGGATCTGCCCAAGTGTGATTTGGCATCTCACACCCACCTCCCAGAGGGGCCTCTCACTGTGGGTATCGAAACCTTGACCTATGCGGGATGAACCCGAGTCCAAAGCAATACCATTGATAACATCAACAGTGTCATTCTTGTTTTCTCTTCCCAAAATTCAGCAGACTGATGGGGCCGTACTCCTGGGAGAGGGCAGACCACGGCGCACATGAACAACCCAGCAAGGGGATTCTCCTTCCCATCATTTATGGCATTCCCAGTATTTACGGTACAACCCTACAACTACCAGAGAGTTTTCCCAAGTTTCTGATCTTAGGTCGCCATGAAAATGAATATCCCCAAAAATGTGAGTAAATACGTCTGCTCTGACTTCCCAACTGTAGAACTACTAATACGCACAACTAAAGTGCATAACAACTGACTCATCTTGCTGCACATTCCTGCAGTAAATGGAAATATTTATCCCTCTTAAAAAAATGTCCACCTTATTTTCTGCAGCGTATGAAATATGAACAGCTCAACCAAACAAAAAAGAGAAGATGTGTTGGCTGTTAGATACCCACCAATGCTGCAGTAAGTCTTATTCTGCATAGAAAGTAAAAACAAAAATAGATTTCGCAGGAAGAAAGAGATTGATCTTGCAAGAGCAAAAAACGAATGCGCCTGCGAAACAGGCAACTGGTCAGCCCGATTACAACAGCCGTCAGCAAGAGAAGAATAAAGCAAAAAAGATCAAAATCCTCAATTCTGCAGAGCAGTCAGATAACCTGAACGGCTCATCAAACCCTCTGATGAAATGGGAGCTACGCTGCGGCC